ATTACTTCCAGAAGCAAATCGGGAGTGAGAGGAGTTGCTTACGGCTGTCCGTACAGAGGAGCTCGAGCTGGTTCTTGAACGAGCAGTTTCTCGACAGCGACCCTTCGATCGTTGAGCAGTGCCTGAAGAATTGTATGGCAAGAGAGACTATGCGGGGTAGAGGCCATAAGAAGATGAAGAGCCAGATTACCATACGACAAGTACATTCAAGCGGGAACGATTGAAGTTTTCCCAACCGGAGACGATAGCACGACCACATATCACGCCACAACTGGCAAGAGCAAAACGACGAAGCAAAGCAACATTCGTCAGCATTACACGATCAGTTGTATACGAATGCGTCATTTCGTATCGCCAACATCCAATCGAGTCGCAATGCGACAACAGAGACCTTACACATACCGTCTCACGACCCGCACACAAGTTCCGCTCCAAAGCCAAAGCTTTGGTATGAACGCGGACGGAACGCCGCATTCTCCGCCTCTTCCTCTTCTTGTACCATGCATACTTTTTTCTGTACACATACGTTTACTCTTATGTCTAATGCCCTAATGTCTTTGTCAAGGAATTCTAGATCGTAGCAGAGTACGTCACGAGCACGATAAATACGAACACGAATCTATAGTTGCGCATCAAAACCCCAACGCAAGCTCAGCTCAATGAATACAAATACTTTCTTAAGCATATACACACGATCAGCGTACCATTCCTATGTATCCAGCGCTTCTTCACACCGCGCGCCGCACCCTCACATAACACAGCGACGATCACACCCGTCGCATAAACAGCGCAAGCCGTGCTACCCGCATGCCCAGACACACGTCAGATGGGCATCCCGGTTTCACATTGGCAACGAACGCAAACGCAGCTCGCAGAAGGAAAGGGAAAAGGACCGAGAAAGATAGCTTCATCTCCTCGGCCCTTTTTCCGCGCGGAACTTTCCCTCGAGCATCTTGCTCATCACCTAACTTCCAAGCAATCGGTCTGATATCGCCAGACTGCAGTATGGGGACATGTACAATGATCGCAACTCTACCCGCGTGAGCTGGCGATCTACCAACTGCGATACTCATCACCCAACTGTTCGTTCCCCAAGAATCGGGAATCGGGGAATGAGCAGGACATATGCGCCACACCCACAGAACTCTATCCTATCCACCTAAGACTACTATCAAGCCGACCTACCCGTCTTGTATCCGGCCACTTCTTTCCTTTGCCTTTGCCTTACTGCACATACACATCTACTCAGCGTTCGTAAAACGAACGCGCCAGCGACGCGCAACCACATGAAACCACATCTGTCCGTGGGTCACTCACTCGGCGAAACCCCACCGTAATACGTCTTGGCTTTCTTACGTATGGATGCGCCTGGGTACGAGATTATTCCGCTCATCACGAGAGGATTATTACGAACGACTGCTTGGGGTTCTTGGTGCATTGCGTGTTGGTGTTGGGCTTGGCGGTTGTGATGGGGATACCTGGTTTGTGTCACTGTGGAGGGTTGGTGGGATGATTTACTCACTACGAGGAATGCGCGTGTCTACTCAGTGATGAGCAAGATGATGTAGACAAAGGTTAGGCTTATATTAAGAGATTCTTAGCTCATCACCCCTCACAAGACCTTCAATTCCACTGCCCAAACATGTACTCTGTTTACACCCTCCAACATTCCACCACCGCCCTTGCTTTTCCCACCCCTTCCTTCTATCCCAACCCCAAGCCCGAGCGGAGCCCCATAGCGCAAACAGCGTATCCGCGGCGGAACCTGGGCGGTATTGGCACGAGTCTTGGACGGCAAGTCTGCCGCAAGAAGAAGTCCACGTTGCGGTGAGCAGATAACGTGTCGAAACACATGTAGCGGAATGGGCGGAGCGGCGGTAAGCATTGGGCTGTTAACATGCTCAATCCCCATGTGTGGCTTGCAATTAGATTGGATCGGGCGGTCGGGGCAACTGGATTTCCGCTCTCTGGGTGCCATGCGTCTTGGACGCGTGTGGCGTTGCTCGAAGCATTGGAGGGGCCGAGGGGCTGAGTTCGGGTGAGTTTGCGCCTGGACTCCTTGGTAAGGCGTGGGTAGTGGCTTGGAAGCGCGGGTAACCTGCTTGGAAATGTAACGATGTAAAGTGTTTCGTACGAGGTAAGCTGTCAATTGCGAGTAACATGTGCGAGAGATGTTGTAGAGATGTTGTGGTATTCGAGGAAAATGGGGTATATCATGTCGAGCTCCGTTTGCTCTCCTACTCTTACACAGAGAGGCCCAATAACGCCGTGCTGTCATCCCAGATCAGCAGTCCTTCATGTCCGATGCCCCTAAAACAAAAGTACGCCATGGTATATGCCGCTTAAACATCGCTCGTCCCATCACTGAGCGAACGGTAAAAACAAAAACTCGTCGTCGTAGCAATAGCCTTCTCTTCAAACATGCGTCTCTCGCAGTCCCCTTGAGAGCCATCGTTCCCACCAGTTCCGTACGCCGACGATGCTCTCTTTGCCATCGTTGTGTCCGTCGTGACCTCCAGGGTCTCCTAATATCAACGAGAAAAACCAGAATCCTGCAGCGGTCCATGCGGCGATTGCGACACCGAATGCGACGATTGGTGAAAACAGGTGAATGACGACGAGCATGGGCGCGCTGTAACCAGTCGTTGAGTCGTGGGAATAGACGAGGTGTAGCTGCAAGTTCAGCGCTGGTGCGAGGAAGGCTGTGATTTGTTCCGAGAATGATGGGCGTTTGGTGCAGAATCGCAATGGTGCTAGTGCGAGTGAGATCAGGAGGGCGAAGATCGTCCAGAGAGCGATGGCGCCGGAGAGGAAAGCACAGGGGCCGCAAAGCCAAAACTGCATTTTGTTAGCCACGCTCCATAAGGCTTCGAGAAAGTAGAACACATACCAGTAATTGCCATGCCTTCTCCTCTGGGCCTTTCTCATGGTAGGCACCTTTGTCGTAGACGATCGCATCGCCGTCTGGTCCAGCCGCAGACACACGGTTTGGAGATCGGCGGCCTTGCGACGAACCGTAGCCATGCTTCTCGGGATCAAGATGCGCTTGTTGTGGATATTGTATGCTTCCTCGTTCTATCTCTGATCTGCTGGAGTATCGGATCTCTGCTGTTGAGTTGCGTTGTTGGCCGATCGAGGAGATGCTGCTGCAGGGGCTTGGCGCAGAGGATGCCTTTGGCGAGAACGGGTGCGAGATGACGGAATCATGGCCACGGCCAAAACTCGACTTGCTGTGACGGTCTATGCGGATGGTCTGTTGTCGCTGGTATGGCTCCTTCTCGTTGTATGCGTAGTTGTACTCGTCGGGCGATGTGTTGGTTGATAGCTGGTGCAGCGGTTGGCTCTGCTGGGGGGGAGTGGCCGAACATGACACCGGCGGACGCTGGGATTCCATTGCCGGCAATTGGTAGTCGACGTCACTGGTTGACGGGCATCAGACGACCCTTTGAGACATGCGAAGTCGATGAGGTGCCGGGCATGTTATAGAAGAGGCGGAGACTTCCCTCAGGAGAGGCAAGACTCTTGTTACATACAATTACGCTCTCAAGACCTTGGGAGAAGGTCTTGGGCTTGGCTTTCATCCCCAAGGCTCGGCATTGGGGCTGGGCAGAGCATCTCAAGACGGGGACGGCCAATCACGGCTCGCGTGGGCGGTCCCAGCGCAACTCTCTTCCAGACGCCGCTCAGACCAAAGACGGAATTCGCGGCAGCGACCTGGCCTCATGTCGTTGGAGCCCCCAGCTCTCATCTTTATCATCTTCGCCCTTTGTCTTGGCTCGCGCCGACGATGCTGAGCAACGCTGAGCAAACGGACCGTCGCACGCTGGTGCACCTCGTCGTCGTGTGCAATGCCCTCTGAGAACGCGCCAAGCCGGAAACAAGCGCTACCATGGTCCGCCTAGGCTGTTCGCTGGATGCGTGAAGCTGTGCCTAGGAAATATTGAACCCACGGATCGTGGACTGTTGTACCATAGGCATGACACCCCACAAGAATCCAATGCGGTTCTCCAATCCGCCTAGATGACGGAGGGGACCACAGAGGCGCGGCTGGTTACGGCCCCGCGGTGCAACGTCGCGAGCACTCCTTGTGTCGCATCGCCAATCCAAGTCGGAACGGCGGAGCGCATTTGATAGCGCTTGTTGGCGGAAATAGCTGCAAGTTGCTTTGCAGAGTCTGAATCCGGGCTCCAAGCGTGGCTGAAACGAAGTTGGCCTTGCTGATCTCGATCTTGGCATTGGCACATGAGAAGCTCAGATACTCTGTTGAAGGCGCCAGTTGTCCTGGCGTCCGCTGGCTATGCTGGCTTGGTCTCTATCAGGTGCTTTGTTTTGACCTGAATAAGCCCGTCGCTTTCTCGGCATGCTGTTCGCACCCTGATCGAAGGGACAGTTGTGACCGGCTCAAACCTACCATTCCTTTGGTAATGCCTCATGCCATACAGCACGAAGCGCTGCCAGTGACGTCCACCTCAGTGTTGTTGCATTCACCGCGTGCTCCTTGGCATCGGATTCATTAGTGATCTGGCGATAAGCGTTCTGCTGCAGCCACAGCCGGTGGTAATACACAGCATGGCGGAGTTGTGTTCCGCCCCGCGGACAACGTTAGCGAACCGGGTATAATAATGGAAAGAAATGTAAGCTGCAAGGCAAACGTCGGTTAGCAGCTGGCACTGCGAGGAAGGATGCTCTATGGCGCTGGGCGGGGTGTTGTAACGTCGATGGGGCTGTGATGTCACTCGACGTAAATGGAAGTCGCGATGGAAGGAGCGCCCAAGCACCTGCATACTCCAGCGTCAACGAACTATGTGTTAGTCTTGATGAGGACGTCGCGATGAACCACGAGCATCCGGCACTTCCGACATGTGTACATGCTGATCATTGATTGCGGCATTGGTTAATATGAAAATATTGTGCTTTTTCTCGATCTCCTTCTAAATGGAAGATCAGATCCCTTGCTAAACATGACCTCAATGTGCACTACAGGGTCTGACAAGGATGATCTAGACACCCCTTCGACCGCCAACCAGCTTCATACCTTCCCGCATAGCATCCGTCAGTCTGCTCATGACCAGCTCTTTGATGCCCTTCTTCTCCGGCTTCGGCATGAAGCCCAGCTCGATCAGATAACTGACGTACACACCTACAGTGTCCTCCGTCACCGCACCGCCCTTGCTCCAATCCTCGCCTGTCCATGCTTGATCTTTCTTCAATGCTTCCGCCGCATTTTTGTCGTCGAGTTCAGGTGCCTTGGTATCAGCAGGCAGGTCTCCAGTAACAAAATGGTACAGCGGTAGGAGAGCGTTCTCCTCTTTCGTACCAGAGCGGTCAGACACATAGGCTTCCATGTTTTGCTTCCACTCTGGGTAGGTGACAAGAGGAGCATTGTATCCAAAGTTCTCAAGGGCTCCCAAGAACTCGTTGAAGGTGATACGGGGGTGTGATGTGATTTGCGCGACTCCTAGGGGCGCGATGGGCGGGTTGAACGAGGATGCCACAACAACGCGAGCAACATGAGTCACAGGAACCATGTTGATGGTGTTTGTGATGTCGGGTCGTGATTTGAGTTGGATGCAACCCTTGAGTATACGCACGAGGAAGTCGTCGGTGTTGGTGGTGCCGTACTCTGGGTCTCCCAAGACATAGCCGGGACGAATGACGCAGCCACTCAACCCTTTTTGACCAGCCTGTCGTGTGAGGTACTCAGCTGCCCATTTAGATTGACCGTAACCAGTGCCCAAGCCTTTGCGAGCACCTTCCAGGTCGTCTTCTTCAGGAACGCCTGTCCCACCACTGGCCAGACTCTTCTCGGACAACTTGACAAAGTAGTCCGTGTCAAGCACTGATGTCGAGCTGACAAGACCGAAGTTCTTGGGCTTGCCCGCAGCACACATTGAGAGAGCGGTCATGGTGGAGATGACGTTAGGTCCGCGAAGACGTGAGTATGGCAATACCCAGTGTACCAATGCGCCATTGTGGATGACAACATCGACAGAGTCTACAAGCTTGTTCCAAGTATTCGGTTCAAGGCCAAAGTTCTCCTTTTCTAGATCGCCCACGAGAGGCTCCAGGCGTGATTCCCAGCTATCTTCCCAGATGCCATATGCAGAGCAGGTTTGCCTGACACGGCCGAGTGCAGCATCAATGTCTTTTGCACGGACGAGTACTGTAACCTTTCCGGGCCTCGATAGGACGTCTCGTAGAATGTAAGCACCCAAGAAGCCTGTCGCGCCAGTGAGGAAAGTATGTACTTCTTCCTTGGGATTCAGCGGCTCTTTAGTCTTGAACTCGGTCAGTTGGTTAGCGAGTTCTCTGGCATCGGCAGAGTAGGCCTCGTCTTCTGGATCCTCATCAATGGCTTCTGCAGTGTCCAGACGCAGACCAATAGGGTCCATAGCCTGGTCAATGTTTGCCGAGAAGCCGCGCAACGTTGGGTACTGAAAGATTGTGGTCATTGGTACATCAATGTCTCTCCATTCTTGCCGGATCTTAAAGAGCAGTTGCTGAGCGATGATACTGTGGCCTCCGAGGTCGAAGAAGGAATCACTTCCGCTGATTCCGTCGGCTGTCACACCGCGGTCGCCCAGAAGCTCAGCCCAGATACCGGCCATGGTCTTCTCAGTTGGCGTCAAGGCTGCACCCAACTGTGAAGGTCGCCTTGCACCTGCCGCTGCTAGATGCGCTGGTTCTGGGAAGGGCAGTGCCGGTCGATCAATCTTGCCGTTCGGGTTGAGCGGGAATCGAATGAGTGGGACGATGATTGACGGAACGGCATATGCAGGGAGCTTCTTCTTCAGATGCTCTCGCACATCGTCTCTCAGATACTTGAAGCGCTTCAATAAAGTGACCATGCTGGTGTCATCGACGGAATCACTGTCTTTCGCACCGCGCTCCTCGAGCCAGTCGTACCAACGCTTCATCTCAGGAACGATGTAGCCTATTATGTTAGCAGACATTTGAGTTGGGATAAAGTTCAAACTTACTGACTAGTGTTGGCTCCTCATAGGCATCACGCTTCAACAGTGTGACGTTCTCACGCACCAAAGGATGAGCAGAGAGATGCGAGTCGATCTCACCAAGCTCGATACGGAAGCCGCGAATCTTGACTTGCGAGTCGACTCGGCCTGTGCAGTGTACGTTACCATCCTCAGAGTAATGGCCCAGGTCTCCAGAGCGGTAGAGTCTGTCGCGTGGACCTTTGTAGAACTCTCGCCATGGCTCAGCGGCTCCTTGGCTTTCCACCTTTTTATTGTCTTCATCTACCCACTTCTGTTGGTCCACAAACCAGTTGTCGACGAATTTGGTAGCAGTCAAGTCGGGCAGACCCAGGTATTCCTCGGCCAGACCACCGGCCCGCACGTATATCTCACCACTCTCACCGGGCTTGCAAACCTTTGTGCGATCTTCGCGGTCGACTACCAAAAGCTGAACGTTGTTCATGCCACGACCAGCCGGGATGACTTCACCGATGGTATCAAGGAACTCGGGCGCTTCGGAGCAGCTCGGTAGCTCGTAGTAACTGACAGCTCTTTGTGTCTCTGTGGTTCCGTACATGTTGACAATGCGTACGTTGGGTGCCAAGTTCTGCAGCCTCCTGCAATCGCGCTTGATTAGCAGGTCGCCTACGAAGAAGGAGTGATGCAGGCTTGGAAAGACAGCTGAAGCGCCTCCGACAAGAATCTGACCCATGGCGGGTGTCAGATGTGTGACTGTCGCGCCATATTTGCGCATCCACTCGGCGAGCTTCTCATGCTGTATGTCCTCTTTGCTGGGTACTAGTAGTTGTGCACCGAGGAAAAGTGGTGTGAAGATGTCTCGCTGGATAGGGTCGTGGGCGATGCCAGAGAGCATGGTGAACTTGTCGTTTTCAGACAGTCCGAATGTCTCTGCCATCCATGGAAAGTAGTGTGTTAGCGAAAAGTGCCGGCCCTTGACACCCTTGGGCTTTCCTTCTGATCCTGATGTGAAGGAAAGTGTGGGTGTTGAGTCTGGACCGACCAGCACTCCTGGCAACTCGGCCTTGAGCTTCTGTTGTTCCTCCAACACGTCCTTTCCGTCCTTGGAGCCTCCCACGAGGGTTCCATCGTCCTTGAGCTCGAGCGCGGGGACTTCTGTCCGCAGTTGTAGATTGTCCTTGACGTAGTCCCTCACTTGCTCTGAGATGGGGCCGGCTTCACGGATGGCCTTGTCGATGACTACGAGTGCGCGTGGTTGGGAGACTTCGAGATAGATGCATTGGCGGTCTGGGGGGTATCTAATGATGTCAGTAGGTCACTAGCTGTTTGATAAGCTAGACTCACAGCGGGTCTAGTACTGAGAAGGTCGCTCCTGCCGCCAGAACAGCCATAATGGCGACCACTAGGTCCACGCCACGATGGGCGAAGATCATGACTACCTCCCCTCTCTGCACGCCATTTTGCACCAGATGATGGGCTAGTACCGAGGTAGCCTCGAATATGTGCTTGTATGTGAAGTTGCGCTCGGGTGTCTTGCTGGTAGCCGTCTCTACCACGCATGGCCGCTCGGGATGCTTGCGAGCATTGCCTGCGAAGATCTCGTGGATGGGTCCCTTGAAATCAGACCAGTGGAGGTCCGCAGTCGGATCCGGGATGCTTCCCTTAGTAAGTGAAGCCATTGTCGCGCGTACCTGTTCCTGCATGTTCAAGGAAATATATGGTGGGGTCGCGTTGTAAGTGTGCGCATGCGCGTAGATGGTTCGCGGATGTCAATTGGGATGTGACTGAATGCAAGAAGGTATGAGATCAAGGCTTGGAGTGATGATTGTTTTCACAGCCTTTGAAATTGAAGAACGGAAGGAGATTTTGGAGTCATGGACACCACAGTAAGAGAAGAGGTATGACGCATCCCGTCAAAATGCTCGACTCAGGCGACATCGGCCAGGGCGACCCCCACCACCGAAGGCTCGAAACGCGTGGGATGTCTGGGTCTGGGGCGCATCATCAGCCCTGCGCTAGCCTTGCACCTCGCCCTCGCCAAACTGGAAACGTTCCCTTAGCACGACGCGTCACCCGGCGTGTCAACTGGTGCGACTATCTGCAACCTCTGCGTCTTTTTGTGCCTTTTCGTCGCTCGTTACGTTTGCTTCAAAGCTCGTCCGTATCGCCTAGCGGAGCTGAGTTCGCGCCGCATTGCCTTCAATCAGCAACATCAGGCCCACCACGGATACCGGCTCCAGTAGCCTGAAAGCGCCCATGTCGCCAGAATTGCCATAGTCTGCCTTGTATTCACCTCACTTCTACATCCGATTGTGCCATGCCGACTCAGCATACCTTCATGGGCCGGCCCATCGCGCTGCAGATGCCCCCGAGGAGGTTCCAGGTCATCATCATCCTTCTGCTCTTCGTCATAGTAAACTTTACCTTTTACGGAACTCCAACACGCGACAGTATCCCGACCTATGACGAAGTCGCCGATGCGGTCAAACACCCGCAAGCTCACCTGCCTGACCTGGGCGAGCTGCCAGCTGTGCCCAAACCCTTCGGACCATCAGCACACAAGCCACCGGTTCAGGCAAACAGTACCACGGCCAGTGCTTACGGCGCTATAGAGTGGCTCAGCGATTTCAAATGGCGCAACCCTTTCTCCTCCCGCGTAACTCTCGACGAGAACACCGCCCTCCTACCACCGCTACGCGAACGACCGCCGATTTACACATACTACGACGTACCGAAGAAGCAGGACAAGGAAGTGTCTGCGGCAGAACAACGGCTGATACTGGCATGGCGACGGGCATGGTGGGCGCAGGGCTTCAAGCCTGTCGTACTGTCGCGGGCTGAGGCTATGCACCACCCACAATACCAGCTGTTCCAGCGCATGAAGCTAGATCCGAAGATCGAGTTTGAGGTCATGCGCTGGCTGGCCTGGGGGCACATGGGTGGCGGCGTTCTTGTCAATTGGCTCGCACTGCCCATGGCCGAGTACGAGAACCCGATGCTCAGCTTTCTGCGACGAAACGAATACGCCAAGCTGTCGAGGGTCCAGACCTTGGATAACGCCATCTTCTTTGGAGATCGCATGATGGTCGATGACGCGATCAAGAAGGTCATGGGCAACGAGCTGCTCAAGAATGTCACCGCGAGCAAGGATAAGCTGTTGAAGCTCGCCAAAAAAGAGGGTGGACCGATTGTCAACCTCCTGGACACGAAGGACATGAACTCAGACAGCAAGGCTGACGGAATTGCATCCTACAACATGGCTACGATTTCCAGCAAGTACAAGACGGTTGCTGACAAGTTTACCAACACGACACAAGCCGAGGCCCTCGACTTGCTCGCGAACCTAGTCAACTCGCATCTCCATCTGACCTGGCAAGAGCAGCATCCGGAAGGTGTGGTAATCGTCAAGCCTGCGCCGGAGCACACGACTGCCCTTTTACGCGAAACAACGGACATTGCGCGTAACCTTACTCAATGTCCGATTACCCCAATGCCCAAGTCATGCCCGCCGAACCGACCAAAGTGCAAACCATGCGATGCCAACAAAGGAATGAAGCTTCAGCTGTTCCCAGAATTTGTGAATACGACCAAGTTCTTCACAATCGGAACCGTTCCCCATCCATATACGCTTACCTCGTTACACTACACGCGCGACATGATAGACAAGAACTTCCTCCGCAACAGCGCAGCACGCGACCTGTGGATTAAGAAGCTGACCGATAAATCTATTCCAGACGATCACACCGAAGAATACCGCGTACTCAAGTTCAAGGAGCTCGTAGCAGCAGCTCCGGCCCATACCCTGTGGCTCACAGCTGAACGCATCACCCAAGACGATCTGGACTGGATCTTCGGCTTCGGTCTACCCCAGAATGCGTCTGCGAATGCCGAGCCCAGTTCGCCCAGCAAGGAGTCCGAGCTCATCGTCTTCCCCCGTCCCGAACCCCCCAAGCCCATCGAGGGTATCGACATACCCGACGAAAAGTGGATCGAGAAAGAAGAAGAGCGCTTGAAGAAGGCACGCGAGGCCATCAAGAGCAAGGACAGGAACATGAAGCTGGTAGTCGAAGCCGTGGAGCAGTGGAACCTGGCAGACACGGAAGCCTGGAGGTTTTCGCGTGCCTACTCAGCGAGAAGACGCCAAGAGCGGAAGAAGTGGGAAGAGGAAGAGGCCAAGTTCTCGGGAAGTGAGAAGAAGGCTGGTGTTAGACCTGGAGAGGGCGGTGGAAGATGGACTGATCGGAGTTGATGCAATTAGCGATTTGGGTTGTTCTATAGGAGTATTCATTGGCGTTCTTGGGGTATGTTCAATACTAGCGTGTACAGCTTAGAGCTAGTGTCTGGTTAGAACGTGAGACTGGCTGGACCATGTCTGTTACGACAGCAGAGCTAGGATGAGTCGACATCGACAGCGGCTGTGCCCAGGTGGGATGTTGCAAAAAGAGGTGGAGGTTCGCTTGCAGGATCAAAAAAAGATGGGCAAAAAGAAGATCAAAAACATACAACAGCGGGGATTCGCTAGTGGTCACCCACCTAACTACTAATCCGCCGGTACACTGCTTGTATATGGCTGAGCGGACGGGAAGCCTAATTCTCAGTGTCCTATGGTCGTATGTATTAGACCTCTGGCATCTTGACATATATAACCTGAATTAGACGTCGCGTTGCTTTGAAACGAAGAGACGACGATGTCTACAAGCAGGATCATGCAGGTCTACTGAAAAAGGCAGGGTGATTACGGTCAACAGAGAGGGATTGCAACACACTTAAGTCCAAGCATTACGATTGCTCTAAATGATTGTTATCATTTCTTCCTTCATCTTGGCTAAAAGTTTAGAGACGCTGGCATTGCTACTATGACGAGAAGATATTCCCACCCGCTCAAATCTCAAAGAATCTGCCGATACAGCGCGCAGCAGCAAAATAGCAAAATACCTCCTCGTCTCTTTCTCAAAACTTGCTTCCGTCTCCCCTTTGCCGAGGAAAACACAGGAGACACCGCGGGATAACTCCTGCTGGGACAACGGAACATCTAAAACAAACGTATAGCCATCATCAGCTGTACATCCGAAGGTACTGTAAAGGTGCCTATTGGCATACGTCGAGCTGTCAAGATCGTCAAGTTGGAGAAGTAAGTTGTGTAAAACTTTTCCCCGCACTGTCAGACTTCCCGAAAGCACCCGACCAAACGAATCGCCACTGCTTAGATGGTCGACGGCCACCCCTTCTATCGAAGCATCAAACTGGTTGTTGGCAAGCGGCTCAATCGAAACTGGCCCTTCGATAGCCGCCCAGCTCCATGAAGGAGCTCTCGGTGTTTGCGGCCTCCTCCACTGCATGCCTGGAAGGTGTTCTTGTAGGCATTCTTCTACACTCCGTAACAGCGACGCTTCCAGGTCTCTTCTCCACATGCCGGCAAGGTAATCGTCCACGCATCGGTGAACCTCGCTCAATATCCGAGAAAATCTCCGCGCTACTCTGGAGAGTGCAACCAATCTTTCGGTGTCTTTGTACCTTTCCTCTGGCCGGCTGTTGATTTGACGCTTTGTGAAAGCCGCTACCAACGAATTCCACTTGCTGTACAACTCATCTTTACTTAATCGTTTAGCTATTGCCGTACTTCTAATCATGCGAAATGAATCGTCGTCATTTTCGTGGAAGGCGTATGGAATCCCGCTTTCGTAGTGCCGAACCTCGTTGCATTCCCAGACCATCTCTGAGGATGTAAAGTGAATGACTCGATTGGCGAAGATCATTTCTGAGAGAGACCACGCCCGTCTGTTCAAGGGCTCGTCTAAGGATAATGGCGAGGGGCAGAGAGTGCCTTCCCGACGTTGCAGAGACTCTGTCCGATCTTTTGCCGGGCTTATCGATGACCAATCTTCCCGAGTTCGCGACATCTCCGAATATTTTCCCAGAAATCCCTTCTCTAGGCCATCCGCATTATCCGCTGCAAGCACGAGCCTAGCATTGCTGTATATATCTGCCATCTTGGGATGTTCTCTCTCCCACTCCTCCTCATCGCCCTGAACTATGCAAAGTGCATCTATCCACAAGTATGTATTGTTTAACAGTCGACTAAAAGTGACAGCATCTCGAAGAGTCTTCGGCATATCTGAGTAGGATATTCGTAACTTGTGGTTTTCGATGTTTGACTGGGGTTTCGGTTGACCTCTTCTCCCTCTACTGTTGGCGCCGAAGGACATCATGTCGGCGACTCTTTGTTTTCCCCAACAATAGCTCAGCGCAAAGTAGTGTCCATTTTGACCGTCTGTTTCGAGGAGAAACGGATCATCGCGGCTGAGGACATCTATGACCCGCAAAGGGAGTTTTGGCGGCGATGACTGTTTGCATAGAGGGTGGTCCGCCGAGCATTGTGTCAACCATGTGGATACAAATTTCGACATCGCTCAACCATGATCAAAACGGGTGAGGTATTGTCGGCGTTGCAAGACTTGGTGCTTAAGAGGGTTGTCATCGTTTGTGCGATGGCGAATGACATTACACAAGCACCGAGTGACCTCGCAAGACTAGACCAAGTCAGGCTAAAGAGGTAACAGACTTCTTTCGGCAACGGTTGATCAGCCTGGCATATGATGATGCGGACAAATGAGTGGAACCTAGAAGCCACGCATGAGACTAGGGCGGAATTGCAGGTGCGCTGACGTGCCCCCAGCCC